AGAGGGGTCTGGGGTCAGACTCCAACAGGGGCCAACTCTGGCCTCACGACTCAGCAGGGTCAGGGCCGGAGGGTGATGGGGCAGAGGGGTCTGGGGTCAGACTCCAACAGGGGCCAAATCTGGCCTCACAGCTCAGCAGGGACAGGGCTGGAGGGTGATGGGGCAGAGGGGTCTGGGGTCAGACTCCAACAGGGGCCAACTCCGGCCTCACAGCTCAGCAGGGACAGGGCCCCTAGGCCAAGTCACTTAACCTCTTTGCATCAGTTTCCTGGTCGATAGAACAGAATGAAAACCCTAATCAGAGCATTGGTGGGAGGAGCACTGAAATCATGTACCTAAGCTCCTGGTTTACTACACAAAAGCATTTTCACTGAACCTTTGTTTTGATGAGATATTTGGGACTTTACGACCATGAATTTGCCCCTGGCATGCTTTCCAAAACAGGTACCCCAGACCTGGAGCTACCCCTGGGAGTAATAAGCAGGCATGCAGATTGCCCTGTAAGCTGGCTCAAGACGCCCATGGTCCTTGGGGTATAGCACTGAGAGGAAAGGAGCGGGTGCCCCTCCCGCGGGGCCACCCCAGCCTTCCCAACCAGATCATTCGCCTCCCGGCTCTAGGTCCGCCACTATCTGTTATCCGGAAGTAACTGATTTCAGAAGTCCCTTTTATATCTGAAAGTCTAAAAGGGAATCATTGAAACAACATCAGGAACCAAGCTAATTGAGTATCAATCAGGAGTGAATATTAAGCAAGTGCAAAGGGCCCGGAAGTCACTAAGAGAATAAAAGGCGTTTCAGCTCAGGAACAGCTCTGCCGAGGTGCCTGCGTATACAGCATCTATATGATCATTAACGCCTCTCCTTCACTTGACTTCTTGCCAACCGCTCCTTGTTGCCATGGTAACAGCCCTTCCACTCAGGTGGGCCTAGTGAACTTGCCCCTGCCATCTCTCCTTCCCGCTCCCCTGCCCTGCCAGGTTCCCTCAGTCCTCGCCCCTGCCCAGGGGCTGGCTTCTAGGTCCCCACTCTCACCATGTTGGAGATGCTGCGGGTATTGGCCGGGTTCAGCATGACGATCTCAGTGGTGATGTGGCCTTCCACAGCCTCCGTCATCTCGTCCACCGTGCAGTTGATGGACGGGTCGTAGATCTTGAACCAGTTGTCAGCATACCAGCCGATGAGGAACCAGACGTACTTCTTCCCGAAAAGCCGCTCCTTGTACACCTGAATGCAGGGGAGGAGGGAGGCTGGGCCCTTCTTCCCCTTTTTCTTTTATTTCCCTTGACACTCTCCAGCCTCTCGGGAACCGGAGAAGAGCAGAGAATTGAAAAGAGGAATCTACAAGTCTCGGAGGGAGTGGGAAAGACTCGGCAATTCCTCCTTCTAAGCTCCTCCCCAGCTAGTCAGGAAAGATGGGACTCGGGCTCCTGCAGAAGCACAGAGGGTACAAAACTGAGATCTGGAGAAAGTGCTGTGTGTGAGAAGCCAAGATGGGAGGCAGAGGCAACAGACAGGAGCGTCATATTACTCGTCATCTCACAGCATCTGCTATCAACCTGATCAGAGATGCAAACAGGAGACCCCGCAACACGCCCAACGTACAGAGCCCACCCAGACCCCTGCCTCCTCTGATTCCAACTCTACCTCACAAAAAACTTTCCGGGCTTCGGTCTCATAGAACAGTCCCACGATGATCCGGGCATCCTGGCGCTGCAGCGTGGACAGAAACAGCTGCTGAGGGAGGCCTGGAAACAGCCAGCTGCTGAGGGAGGCCTGGAAACAGCCAGCTGCTGCCACGGCATTCATCCCCTGCCCTAGAGTGCTTAATGCAGGGTTCTGCTGGAGGGGTAGCATAGAAATGTCACTGGACAATGGAAATGAACCTCCCCAGGAGATGCTACGGTCTCGCAGAATCAAAATTCTGTGATGCGATAGAGATGTTAGCTGAGGGGTGGAGGAGAGGGGAAAGTGGGTGATGGGCATTGAGGAGGGCACTTGTTGGGATGAGCAGTGGGTGTTATATGGAAACCAAGTTGACAATAAATTATATTCATAAAAAAAAGAGATGTTAGCTAGCATGGGTTGTAATCGTATCGCAACACATCAGTGTATCATCACAGCTTATATAATGTTACACGTCAATTATATGCAACCTATAATATGTAACATGCAATATACAACTGCATGCTACATATATATATATATGTGTGTGTATATATATACGTATCAGATCAACTCGTTGCAGGCTGCAAGCTTACACAATGCTATACACTAATCATACCCCAACAACCTGCCTGTCTGGTTCTCCTCTCCAGCCCACCACTGTCCCCCCCAACCCGGTCCCTCTGTAGGCTGAGCCCACCACTCCCAACCACCCCACCTTAAGGTTTTTGACAGGCACAGCTGGATCTGAGAAGAAACTCTGGCGGAAAGTAATCTCGATTCCAGCCTCCTTCACTCGTTCCTCTAGGTCGTCCAGAGTCTTGGGTGGGAATAAGAACAAACGGAGAAAGCACAGGTGCACAGTGGCATAAAGACCGGAGATGCTACCTGGGGATCATACAGTCTGAAGTGGAGGAACCGCAGTTCTGACCCTTCCTTCAATGGCATCTGCCCCAGGGTGGGAAGAGCTCAAAGGAAAGCAGCTGGGGTCTCAGGGACGGTCCTACGTGGGAAGGTACTTATGAGCCCCTCGCAAGGATCTGTGTCCTGGGAGGTCACCCTATCCCCCCACCCCACCCCACCCCCTGCCAATCCCTACCAAGCAGCAAACATAGGGGAGAGCAGAACAGAGGAATCGGGAAAGATGAGACAGGGTCTGGTGTGCACACGATGGTCTCAACCTCAAGAGGCAAGTGGGCAGACAAAAGGACCACAGAAGAATGTCCTGGTCACTGAAAGTCAGGGGAGGATTGAAGGGCTGCTGAGCATGAGGGCGGGTGGAGGATCCAAAGACCAGAATAACAGGAGGGGCTGCCTCCGTCAGGTACAGAGCCCTGAGCTTCCTCTTTTCCACCCGTGCTGTTCCAGAGACGTCTTCTGCCTCTCCTGTCCCTCCTTCTCCGTTCCCACTCACACCTGCCACCCCGAGTGTCTCTGGATTTGCTGCCTTTCTGGGTTCTTCTCTCACATTCTCTCTCTCATGTCATCTGAACTGTGGAGTGAACCTACTTTATTAGAAGTGGGTCATTTGGGTCTGTCTGGGGAAGAGAACATCAAAGGGGAAAAATGTCCTAAAACTAAGAAGTTGGAAAGAATCTTTCTTGAAAGCTCAGCTCTGCTTAATTCCTCTGGCTGCAGAAAGAACATGCACTTAACCCAGTCGGAATGTGTCTGCTTTTGATAAAGAAACAGGATCTTCTCCCCAATAAGGGATCCTGGCCACACGTCTCCACTGGCATGTGGGAAATGCGCTCTCACCGAGGTGAAGACCTCAGTGGTCTGCTGGATGGTGGCGATCTTCCTCCAGCCCCACTTCTCAAAGAGCTTCACCCGGGTGGGATTGTGGAGTGTGGCCGACGGATGAGTTCGAAAGAACGTAGGGAAACGCTGCCGGTTGGACAGGGCCGGTGAGCTGGAGCCGTAGGAAAGCTGAGGGACAGACACAGCGCGGGGCACGCTCACGCTCCAGGCTCCCGGGAGAGGGGACCCCCCCAGACCCACCGCCTGGCACAGGTGCCTGTTCCCTGATCTGACTTCACTTCCGTCTGACAAGAAGCTAAGTCAGGTGCAGCTATCAGCCCCCTGCTGCCAGGAGGCCCCAAAGGACCAGGAGTCCTGCACCTGGGTCCCTCCACAGCCCTCTTACATGCTGTCCACCCCTGTTCAGCCCCCACCTTCTGAAACCCCACCCCCACCCCCACCTACCACAATGAGGTTCCACATCCTGGCGGCCTCGGCCACAAGTGTGGAGACAGAACTGCAGCCAGGCATGAGGATGATCTTGATGGGGTCATTGTAGAGCAGCTCGTACAGGTACTTGGTGGCTTGGCCTGGGTCACACTGGATGGGAGGGGGTAAGCCTGGGTTCTCCCGGGGTCCCCCCCCCCCCCCCCCCCGCATCTCCAACAATCTAGTCACTCGTCGAGGACCCATCCCACCGCTGGACCCTGTGTGCTTTCACCATTTTCTCCTGCCTACCCTCTCCTGCACGCACCTCCATCCGTGTTCGTGCAGACACAATCTTCCCTCCCTTCAGCCCCTGCTCAGACAGCCCCAGCCTCACTTCCTCTAGCACCCCTGTCCCTTTTCCCCTGTGTCTCTGCTCCAAATCTCTGTGAGTCTGCAGGAATGTGAATCAACTCTCCCCGAGTCCGCAGACAGGCATGAAAACTCCTCCCTCGCCTCTCCCCACCGTCCATTTTCCCCAGGCTCTTCCCTTTCCAGGGCTAGAGATAAACAAACAAGAGAGAACAGGGAACAGGACCACTAGGGGGTCCTGCTGGGCGATCCCTCCCCTCCTGCTGGGCTCTGACATTTGACGGGTCCATTAGAAAAAGAAGCCTGGGGGGGGGGGCGGGCGGCGGAGGGAGAAACAGGTGAGGAAAGAACTGGGAGAATAAATAGAAAAGGACTCTTAACAAACCGGGTGTTTTTAGGGGTGCGTGAAGGGGAGGCAGAGAGCTGGGGAGGGCAGGGGTGCTGGGAGGACGGCACGTGGGGAGGAAGAGCCCCATGGTCTCCCCCTGCTTGTTCCCCTCCTGCTGAAGTTTGACATTTCAGAAGCCGCTGGAGCCCCAAAGGAAGCAGAGAAGAAATGGAAGCCAGTGGGAAGCCAGGGCAGAGGAGAAACAGGAGGCACA